AACTAAATTAATAGATGATTTCGGACTTAAAAGAATTACAATCGAATGCTATTATTAACGAGATAGCGGGTTACTTAATTTTATTAACGATGAATTTCGAGTATTATTAATTATATTACTTAATAAACAAAACTAGCACTTTATACTAGATCTTTTTTTCTCGATTATTTTTTTATATCGATTGCAAAGAGCAAGCTAATAGCTATATTAAGATTAAAGATAATTATACTTTTTTTTAATTCGTTAAACTGCTTGCGAAACGTAATAATAAACCGGCTACTTTTCATTTCAATTAATTTATTACAAAAACGGAAATATAAGTTAATAACTAGCCGAAAAAAGAAAGCTTATAACCGAACGACTACGCTTAAGTAGCTTAACAATAAAAAAACGATAAAAAGTTTAATCTCGCGATTTATAATTGCAATTACTTTTATACCGATCTTAACGAAGTTTATAAGTCCGCGTTCTTTTTTTTATAAAAAAAATTTATTAAAATATATTTTAATTAATAAAAAAGCTTTAATAAAAAAGATCTTTAGATTTTTTGCTTAATTAAAGGCAATTTAAACAACTAATGCGTGACTTATACCGCTACTTAATTACGTAATACGTTAAGCAATAAGAATTAAAAAAACTAGCTATTATCGAAAAACGAGCTTAAATAAAAAAAAGTAAAGAAAATCAATTGGTCCGATTTAATACGGAAAATATAAATAAAAGCTGCTTTAATCTTACGCTGAAAATCTTTATTAAAAGTTAAGACTCGATCTTCTTAAGCTTTATCGCGCAAATTTTTTATTTCTCGAATAAAGAATAACGCCGAAAACTCGACAAGCATTATATAATACTTTTCTTTATCAATTGATAATATTGCTAATTAAATTTCTAATTAGTTAATAAAAGAAGAAGATAGCTCATTTAAAAAGAAAAGGTTTTTCCAAGTGCAATTAAATAAAAAGACGAAAATTAAAGATTAAGATAGTCTTCTTTTCTTAAAAAACAAGCGAGCAATTAACTTAGTCTTTTAGTTTTTTCTTTTGTAATCAAGTTTTTCGGCCTTTGCTGTTTTTTCTTTGTAAAACACTTTTATATTTTTTTTGTTTTTTCTTTTCGGATCTACTTTTAATAAGAGCCTTATTTATAAACTTCAATAAGAGTCTTTTTCATCTGAATAAGTCTTAAGTAAGAGTGTCGGATGTGATTAAGTAATAACTTATTACGTATCAAGACTTTTTTAGATGTATAAGCAAAGGGCTACTCTTTAAGTTCATTAGACAAGAATTAAAAATCTTTTTACTTATCTTTGTTCTTGTGTTACCGTTCAACATATAGCGCACTTACGTGACAAAAGTGCTTAGCATTAGCATTATATACATAGACAAAACAAATATAGACTTTTAACTCTATTATATACGTCTTTCTTTTAAATTAGACTTGCTTTCGAGTCACCTCTTATCGAAGTAGTAAGGTTGAGTTTGCAAAGCAAGCATATGGCTGAATTGCATAGTCGTAATACGGTTTTAAAATACTACTTAATAATGCATCGTCGAATCGGTGTTAATACAAAGGCGTGCTAATAATATAATAAAGAAGTTAAAAATAGCAACGAGAATGCAAGATAATCTTTCGGGTCTAACTCTTTTTTATATTTTTTGTAATCCTTTTATTTAATTATAAAAATAATATCAACTCGAGCGTTAGTATTGTCGTTAAGATAAGCGTGGGCTAGCTTAAGCGGTCAAGTGGTAACGCATTGCCGAATCGGTAGTAGCGCGCGGCTTAAAGCGGTAACGTGATAAAGAAAACAAAGGCGGCAGTATATATTCGAAGTCTTATTATAAATAGTTAACTTTTTTTTTATATCAACTTTACACTTTTTCTATCTTTTTCTTAGCATTACTACTTACGGGCGCAACCCTTAGGTGTAGCAACCGAGTGCACTCGGTTGCAACACTTTACTTACACCTTACTTACACCTTAACGTTTTAGTGTAGCAACCGAGTATACTCGGTTGTAAATCGAATACTCGGTATATACTCGGTTATGGTTCGGATAACTCTAAAAACGTATATTCGATTTACAACCGAGTACACTTGGTTGCTACACCGAGTACTCGATTTACAACCGAGTGCACTCGGTTGCTACACTTTATAATTCGATTATTACACTTAATCAAATTACTATTAACTTTATTAATAATTATTATTAAAACCTTATTAACACTTTACTAACACCTTATTAGTTTTCACTTTATTATTATTTATACTACTACTAGTATTGCCTTGCCACCAGTATCGCCTCCAGCATTGCTTTGCCACCAGTATCGCCTCCAGCATTGCCTTGCTACCAGTATCGCCTCCAGCATTGCCTTGCCACTAGTATCGCCTCTAGCATTGCCTTGCCACCAGTATCGCTTCCAGTATTGCCTTGCTACCAGTATTGCCTTGCCTCTAGTATCGCTTCAAGCAAATAGTAGCGGCGGTAAGGTAGTGGCGGCGGTAAAGTAATAAAGGTGGATGAGGAAGTGGCGGCGGTAAGGTAGTAGCGACGGTGAGGTCGTGGCAGTAGTAAAGTAGTAGCGGCGGTGAGGTAGTGGCGGCGGTAAGGTAAGTAGTAGCGGTGGTAAAGTAATAGCGGCGGTGAGGTAATAAGAGAAGCAAAAAGAAGTACGAGAAATATACAAGTTAAAAGTATAAGCTAGTTATAATGATGACGTAGAGTATTTTCTGCTCTTAGCACGTGCTTTTATTTATTACGATGAAGTTGATATTAAGTGTAAAGGTTGAAATTAAAATGTAGGTTGATATTAAAGTGTAAAGGTTGATATTAAGGTGTAAAGATTAATATTAGAGTTTAAAGGTTGATATTAAGGTGTAAAGATTAATATTAGAGTTTAAAGGTTGATTTAAATAATAATATATTAAAAAACTCGTCAACCTTAAGATCAACTTTAATAAACCGATTATAATCGGTATATAATCGGTTGGTTGGTGTTAACTCGGTGTTCACTCGGTGTGCACACGGTTGCTAAACGTAAGGGGTGCGCCCGTAAGAAGTAGAGTTAAAAGGTTGAAAGATTTTGCGAGTTTTCGTGTTTTTTAATAATACGAAAGTATCGTCCGTAAAAAAAGCTTTTTTTAAAGTCTCTCGAAGTTTTTAATTAATTAAGCTGTCCGCAACGTCTTGATTTATAATTAGTTTACGATAAGACGAATAAAATTAAAAATAAAATAAAAAATCTATTAAAGTTATTCGAGTTTTATTTTATTGTAAAAGCTAAAGCGCGTTAACGTAATGCGGCTAAGTCGTTTAAAACATAATAGTTTCGGTAAGAAAGTTTTCGATTGATATTAAATATAAATAAAATATATATGCAAAATAGATTTATAAAAAGTTAAATCTCGAAAGATTAAAGTTCATTTCGGCGTATTCCGTCGAAAAGTCTATAAATATATATATATATATATAAACCTTAAGAAAACATTATTGTTCGAAATAAGTTATTATTAAAGTGTTTTTAAAAACAAAAGGTCGTATGTTTTTAAAAAGAGATATAAAAACTTAACGATAAACGCAAGCAATAAAGAAAAAGAGTTATGTATATCGTTAAATAATAGTTTTAAAAAGGAATATCGTATTCCGTTCCGTTTAATTTTGTTTTTACGAAAAGTTCGATATTAAAAAAGTCGCAAAAAGTATTAATTATAATATTCGGCGTTGAAAAAGTCGTAGCGGAAGCTTATAACTTATTAAACGGTAATACGAAAAAGAAAATAAGTAAAAAGATTCTTAATTCTTGTTTAATGAAACTTAAGGAGTAGCCTTTTACTTATACATTTAAAAAAGTCTTAACACGTAATAAGTCTATCACCTGATCATATCCGACAAAATCGAGATACTATAGCTTTAATATAATTACGCGGTTTGCTATATCTTTTATTTTATATACGTTTTTAATAAAAACGGCGAGCTAGAACTAATATTAATTAAAGACTTCGTTCTCGATAAAGTAATTGCATAAACGAAACAAACGTTAATCGAAATTAAAATTAGCAATAAAAGCATCGACCTTAAAGGTTTTAACGTTATTATAACTTTAATCGTCTTTTTTTATGAAAAAGTAAAGCTTTTCCGCTTTTTTAATATGAAAGACACGGTTAAATTAATTAAAAAAAAAAAAATAAGATTACGAAACACGATTTAAGATGCTAAAGCTATTGCAACTTTATTAAATGTATCCGATACCTTCGCTATAGCAAATGCAGCTAAAGAATCGATTAGCACGACGGCTTAGCTTATAACGATTATATAACGCCGGCGAAGTACGCGAACTGCTATAGTCTTTTCGAAGCCGAGCATTAAAACTGCTTTGCTATCTCGTATAAAAAAGATAGCAAATTAATACGGCTTATAAAAAAAAAGCTCGCGGCTATCCGACGAGTTAATATTAAGAACTATAAAAAAAAGCATGTACGTAATAATATGTTATACTTTACTTTCGCAGCTTTTATAAGCAGCGTTATTATTATTATTATTATTAGCAGCAGCACTTTTAATACAAACACTTCGGCATATTTATTATATTAAATATAAAGCTCGAAAGCAATTGATATTATAAATATCGACACGGCGAAAGCTTTTGCAACGCGTAAGCGCGTCGTAAAACAAAAAGTAACGGAATATAAACGCATAACCTCGATCTTTATCTTTACTTTTAATAATCGCTTAAAAGCTTAAAATAGTTATAAAGTAATCAAGCAGAAACTTAAAGTTAAGCTTAAGATTTTACTTTTAACGGACGCGAACGCAAACTCGAAAGACGAATTTACTTTTTAATCTACTTAATAAGTAATATACCGATACGAACCGGTTATAATTATACGATACGATTTAAACCCGATATATATACCTTTACATCATCTCTTGAATTTAAAAGATCCTTTAATAAGGCTCTTTCTTGCCGTCTAAGCTTGCAAACAACTTCATTTTCTAACGTTTCAAACCTCTTTTATTCTCTTCGAACTGCTTTCGTCTCGATAATCGTCGGCTCGCTTAGGTGGGCCTCCTTTCATCCTTTCAGTCTTAGTCGGCATAAGCGATTGCGGATCGGAAGCGAATGCGGATTTTTTCGAATATGTTAGAAATTCTCTAATACTATAGCATTTACTATTATAACAAAGAAATATTTACATGAATAATTAATCGTCTATTATACCGTCTTCCGAAACATTTAAAATCGTATCATCCGATGAGATATTTGACTATCGATTATTATTTTCATTAGAATTTGATTCGTCTCCTACCTTTCGCAACGAATCGTTTGAATCTCTACTACTATTAAAATTAAAGCTATCGCTATCGATATTAATATTAAGAAAAAGAATAATATCTTGCTTTAAAGAAAGGTCTCCGGTAGTATCGGTTATAATCATTAGATTATCATCACTAAGAAAAGGTTTAGGTTGAGAAAGAGTTGGTCGAGGAATACCTTTTTTACGAGGCCGTAGAATTTAACGTTTAAGAGGTTGTTGCATCTACCAAATCTCTTCCGAATCGAGAATTGGAATGAGTATTGAATCGTCGTCTTTAATAATTAAGCTTGTAGCAAGGCGTTTTCGTATAGTCCTTTTGCGCTCGCGTTCAGCTTTGCGTGATTCGACTCTTTTACGATACTCAGTATCTCTTTCTTCTCTTTAAAGCTTGTCGACGATTCGTTGTTGTTTTGCAGCAGATTTAAGATTTGCTTTAGCTTTTTGCTTAGCAGCAAGCTTATTACCAACTTGAGATGTTAAGCCTTCGGTGTAATAAAACTATTTGCGACTTTTTGTTTTGCTTTCTAGTTGGTCTTTTCGTTGTTGAGCGAGAATAGCTAATTCTTGTTCTTATAAAGTAGCTTTTATTGCAACTTTTCGAGTACCTTTCATATAGGATTCGAATTCTTGTCGAAAAGGACTACTCAATAACTCGTTGCATTTATTTTGCTATTTCCACGAGCTGATTTCGATATGCGCTGGTTTCCGAGGAGTACGAGGAAGCTCTGGCTCGTCTTTGTTTACGTATTCGAGAGGCGTAAAAGTCTTAAGATTTTTTAAACATTGCGTTGCGTTCGGTAGGTACATTCCAGACTTCTTCTAAGCTTTTTTGATATTGTATCGACTGAGTGTTTAATTGCGAATATAGTCGAGATCGTTTAAGAAAGAATTGATTGTATACTCGACGTCGAGCTGTGCAAGCGCAGCTTTAATCGCTAAGTCGTAGTAATGCTTATAAGGTTAGAAAATCCTTACATCAAGAGGTTGCATGCAATGAGTGAGGTGAAGAATCAACGGGTACGGTAGAATGTGATTTTTATTAGCTAAATTGATGAATTCCGGAGTCCGGTAGCTGGCGTGATTATCTATCAACATAAGCTTCCAAGGTTTATTCGGTCCATAATCTGCGTTTTTAATATAATGCTCGAGGTATAGCAATGCGATTTTATTGTCCGTGAATCTATTATCAGCTTCCTTAATAAGTGTGCTTATAAGAAGGTTCGAAACGAACCATTGCTGCATAAGTCGTTTGCTTTAAATAAGAATCATCGGAGGAATAGGTTTTTGGCTAGTCGTATTGATCATCTCGATTATTATTACGGATCTTCGATTCTCAAGGCTAACACTATAGAACTATATATAAAAATTAATATATAATATTAAATAAGTTATATAATACGATATAGCACGACATACCTCTTGAATAGATCCAGGAACTAATACTTCCGTTCCTCGCGGACAGCTAATACGGAACTTAGTCTCGTCGAAATTAATGATATCTTTAGATCGAATATTCATCTTCTTTAAGGTGCGTCGATAGCTTTTGAACCACTTGTGTACCGCGTTCGTGTCTTGCGTTGATATTCGGATTCGAGCGAGAGGTTTAGTCTTGATTTTATAGAGGCCACTCGTTTTCTACCACTTTATAAACCAGCTCTAGCTCTGCGGCTTCGCGTATTTATCGTATGTTTTGCGTAAGGCGAATATAACGTTATAGATCAATTGCGGTATAGGAATAAGCCAATTAGCAAGGAGCTGAACGATGAATTAGCGTAACGCGTTGATATGCCAGCTTTGCAAGATCTTATTTTAACCGTTGCGCTTGCGATTTTTCGGTCGCTTAAGGTGATTGTTCAATGTGCGCTCACTAAGGTCGTATATACGCGCAGCAGTTTTTTAAGTCTCTTAAGGGTATTCGGACAAGAAGGTTGTAGCGCGTTAGAAACGCGTCGCAAGATCTTTAATTGCATTAGGACTACTTGGTTGAGCGTAGCTTTTGTATTGAAAAATCCTTAAAGGCTTCTTCGAGCGAGTGCGTTTTCGGCCCATAATTGATTGTAGAATGCGATTGAATTGTGCGGTGGTGGATCAAAGAATGATGTTGTAAATTGTATTTTGTATATAAAAACTAGTAGCAAAATAAAAAAATCCGCATTCGCTTCCGATCCGCAATCGCTTATGCCGACTAAGACTGAAAGGATGAAAGGAGGCCCACCTAAGCGAGCCGACGATTAGCTCGAAAAATAATAAGTAAGATATTAAACCGCCGCTTTCGAAACAATATTACAGCCGATTTCATTCGATTAAACGAAGCAATAACACTTTATTATAACTTTATTAAACGTCTTCGAAACGAGCAAAGAGATATAAACAATTAAGTATCTCCGAAGCTTATTATAAATGTTAAAAACTAGCTCGACAACTTTAATTACGTTAAAATAAAAGCGCAAGTAAAAGCTTTAAATAAAAAGAAAGCAGATACGCAACGTATTATCTTTTAATACTTCGAAATGAATAATAAATTCGTCGCATTGATTTAAAGCATAGCGGACAAAGCTATTGCTTATAAAATTGCCGAGAAATCTACGAACTTCATCATTATTGCTTTTTACGCTAAGTCTAACGGAAAGATCTTTGCTTTTATTCGCATTCGCAGCGAATCTTTTTACTTACTTTTTATCGAGACCCTTTTATTTTTTTTTATTAACTTTACGGAAGCAGCGGCTAAAAGAGTCGATTTAACCTTAACAAAAGCTAAGCTTTAAGCTAAAGCTTTAGTTAAGAAGAGCGGACTTAATAAAACCTTATCTTTAAATAAAGCTTCGCTATCGTTAGCTTTTATATATTTAGAAAAACTTAACTTTCGAATCTTCGTTACAATTATAAACGAAGCTAAGCGTAATCGACTTTAGCATTCTTATGTTTTGCGTAAAGCGCTAATCGACTCTTTTCGCGACTTTACGATAGACTTTATTATCGAAATACACGCGACTTAAACTAGATAATCATTTGTATTAAAGACTTATAAATACGTAATACTTTTATTAATTAAAAAAGAAAAGAAACGGTTAAGCGTTTTTTATCCGCGATTAAAGTCGAAATATTATAGTTTTAATACAATTACGCGGTTTGCTATATCTTTTATTTTATATACGTCTTTAATAAAAACGGCGAGCTAAAACTAATACTAATTAAAGACTTCGTTTTCGATAAAGTAGTTATATAAACGGAATAAACGCCGATCGAAATTAAAATCAGCGATAAAAGCGTCGACTTTAAAGCTTTTAACGTTATCATAACTTTAATCGTCTCTTTTTTAAAAGAAATAAAGCTTTTTCGCTTTTTTAATATAAAAAACACGGCTAAACTAATTAAAAAGAAATATAAGATTACGAAATACGACTTAAAATATTAAAGCTATTGCAACTTTATTAAGTATATTCGATACTTTCGCTATAATAAATGCAGTTAAAGAATTGATTAATACAACGGCTTAGCTTATAACGATTGTATAGCGCCGGCGAAGTGCGCGAATTGCTATAGCTTTTTTAAAGCCGAGCATTAAAACTGCTTTGCTATTTCGTATAAAAAAGACGGCAAATTAATACGGCTTATAAAGAAAAAGCTCGCGGTTATCCGACGAGTTAGCGCTAAGAACTATAAAGAAAAGCACGTACGTAATAACACTTTATGCTTTACTTTCGTAGCTTTTATAAGTAGCGTTACTATTATTATCATTACTAGCAATAGCACTTTTAATATAAACACTTCGGTATATTTATTACGTTAAACACAAAGCTCGGAAGCAATTAATGCTATAGATATCGATATAGCGAAAGCTTTAATAACGCGCAAAAGCGTCGTAAAACAAAAAGTAACGGAATACGAACGTATAATCCCGATACTTATTTTTACTTTTAATAGTCGCTTAAAAGCTTAAAAAAGCTATAAAGTAGTTAAGCAAAAACTTAAAATCAAACTTAAAATCTTACTTTTAACGGACGCGGACGCGGACTCGAAAGACGAACTTACTTTTTAATTTATTTAATAAGTAATATATCGATACGAACCGGCCACGGCTATACGATACGGTTTAAGCTTGATATATACGTCGGATAAGCTAATATAAAACGCTTTACACTTAATTACTAGATTATATTTTCTTTAACGTATAAGCATAAAATAAATGTAATATATATACAAAAACTAATTATTTACTTTAATATAAAGACATAAATACACTTCGCTTTTAATATCTACTTTTTAATAGACTTATAAAGAACTTCGAAAAACAACTTTAAAGCCGAAAAGCTTCGAGTTTTTATATACATTCGCAAAAGAGCTAGATTTTATATAAAGTAGCGACGATTAATTTAAAGCAAAGATATGCTTTAAATCGACGTTAATAGATATATTATCTTTAACGCTTATAAACAACCGACTATTAATAAAGTTATCGATTACGTTTTATACTTTACTTTTAATTATAAGTGCTTAATAAGAAAGGACTTTAATATGCAATACGAGATATTTAAATTAAAAGTTCGAACCGCTTACCGAAGAAAGGATCTTACGGATTAGTTTATAGCGAGCGGCATAGATTTTATCAGCGTGTTAAAAGAATTTATATACTAGCTCGGTTACGTTTTAGACTTCATTTTCTTAAATATATCGCACGCTATTACGATAATAAAAGAAGACTTATATAACACTTTAAATTATCAAACTTTAATTATTACGATCTCGAGACGAAAGCGCGTGCTAATAAACTAGTTTTATAAAAAAATAACGGACAAAAATATAAATAAGTTCGGAGATTTTATACGCAACGGCATAGATACCTTTTCAGACTTTTCGAACTTTTATAACTCCGTACAAATTAAACGAAGTGCTTTAGCTTTCGCGAAAGTCTTTAAAAACGCAATTAAAGTTGTTAATATACTTTGTCGAGATATAAGCAAAACAACTTTTTAATAAACTTCGAAAGTTAAACGAGCTTATTACGAACATATCGAAGCGCGTTAAAACTTTATCGATTGTATTTTAACGGATAAGATTAAGCATTTCCGCAACGCTATACGTAAAGCTAAAAAAGATTATTAAATGCAAATACTAAACAGAGTTGCAAACGACAAAGACTTGTATAAAGTGGTCGGCTAACATAAGCTAATTATTAATTTTAAATCCTTTTTTTTTATATACAAAAAGGTTATCGTATAAGATATTAAAAAGAAAGCAGATTTATTACGATAGACTATACTCGGCCGGTTTAGCGTCGAAGATGACTTTCCGAAAGAACTTTAATACGACGGCACGGAGCACTTGCCGTAAGACTTGACCGTCTCTTTTAAAAAAGTAAAACGGAACATTATAAAAGTAATTAGCATTTCGTTAAATACAAATCGGATTACTATTAAGCTTTTAAAAAAAGTTTAATAATATATTCGATATTATATTTACGCTTTGCTTAATACTTGCTTTTAACATAGCTTTTTCTTTACTTATTAGAAACTAGCGAAAGTAGCTATAATACTTAAAGTAAGTAAGAAAGATAAGACTTCGATGCGCTCGTAGCGCTTTATAACTTTTTTTTTTTGTATATTTAAAAGTCTAAAGCGTATTATCGCTAAGCGAATTGCTTAAACCTCTTTGACTTTAAGCATTTTAAGCTTTTAATACGGCGAAGCTTTACTTAAGCGATCTGCTATAAACTTCGTAACTTGCTTTACTTACGATATCAAAGCAGCTTTTTTAATAAGCAAGATTATTACGATAATAATATTAAACGTTTAAAAGGCTTTCGACGCTTTGCTTAAGCGCCGGCTTTTTAAGCGTATAAATAAATAAAGCTAGCCTTTTCTTTTTTTAAAGCTTATTCACTTTTTTCTTAGCGATCGATAAGTTTAAGTACGCTTCGAAAATGCAATTACGGATCGTTACGACGTAAAATACAGCATACTTTAAAGATTACCGTTATCTTTCGTTTTATATATATTATATTTCGCGGAACTCTTTAATTAAAATATAATACTGCAATTTAAATACGCTAATAACATTTGCATTTATAAAGCGTCGCACTTATTTATATTTAATATTATCTTTTTCGTAACGGATATTTAAAACATTTTAGTATACGAAGCAAAGAATTAAATTTTCTTCGCTTTAAAAAAGATAAAAATAATCTATTTCTTTTACAAAAACGAAGACTTTGCTTTAGATATAATTATCTTATAATTAAATAAAACCGATATCACTTTAAGCTTTTAAGCGCAGCTTTCGATAATAAAAGCCACTTTAAAGCTACGATAGCTTAAAGTATAATTCGATCGGAAAATGACTTTTAAACGCTACTTTTCCGAAAAAGCTAAAAAAGTACGACGGGTAGCTTTTTATATTAAAAGCTTCGCTCGTACGGCGGACGGTTTTTCCGCTTACGCGCTACGTAAAGCAATAATCATTTGCGTATTACTATCGATCTTATATAATACCGAAGCTTAATACGAAAGACGAACGAAGCT